GTGGGCTCTAACCCAATATAACTGGTGTCCTTTATAAGAAGAGGAAATACCATATGAAGTCAGAGACACAGGAAAAGTACTATGTGATAACAGAGGCAGAGATTGGAGTGATACAGTGGCAAGCCAAGGAGTGCCAAGGATTGACAGCAACCACCAGCTGCTAGGAAGATTCAGGGAAGAACCCTACCCAGAGTCTCAGAAGGAACCAGCCCTGCTGACACATTGGCTTTGGACTTCTAGCCTCCGGAACATGAGAAAATTAATTTTTGGGCCGGCCCGGTGGCGCACTGGATAGTGCGCCGCTTGGGAAGCGCTGCGGCGCTCCCGCCTGAGGGTTCGGATCCCACATACAGACCGGTTCCCGCTCACTGGCTGAGCAAGGCGCGGGAGCAACACCGAGGGTTGCGATCCTGTTGCCGGTCCCCAGTCCGCTACGGGGGCAACACTAAGGGTTGCGATCCGTTGCCAGACACGGAAAAAGACAAAAGACAAAAAAAAAAAAAAAAAGAAAATTAATTTTTGTTGTTTAAGTTTGCAGTACTTTGTTACTGCAGCCCTAGGAAACTAATACAACCACTATCTAATTTTAGAACGTTTCATCACCCCCCAAAAGAAACTGCGTACACATTAGCAGTCATTTCCCATTCCCCGTACCACCCCTCTTCTGTCTTCCCACCCCCAGCCACTGGCAATTTTCTGTCTCTATGGAATTGTCTTTTTTAGATATTTCATGTACATGGAATTATATAATATGTGGCATTTTGTGACTATCTTCTTTCACTTACCAATATGTTTTCAAAGTTCATCCATATTGTAGCATGTATTAGTACTTCATTTTTTTAATCGATGAATATTATTCCATTGTTTGTCTATACCACATTTGTTTATCCATTACCAGTTGATGAATATTTGTGTATTTCCATTTTTTGGCTCTTATGAATAGTGCTGCTATGAATATTCATGTACAAGTTTTTGTGTGGATGTATATTTTCATTTCTCTTCAGTGGAAAGAATTATCTTCCTAGGAATGGCATCACTTGATGAAAATGTAACACTATGTTTAACATTTTGAGGAACTGCCAAACTGTTTTCCAAAGTGGCTGCACCATTTTACAATCCCACTAACAATGAAGGAGGATTCCAATTTTTCCACATTCTGATGGCTTCTTTTTGTTGTTGTTTATTAATATTATTTTTTTACATTCTAAGATGTGGAGCATTTGCAGGGGAGGGGTTGGGGAAGGGAGAAGTAAATAGGGTGGGAGAAGGGGGAAGGAGAAGGAGCATGGTTGAGGCCTGTGGCACCCCCCTCATTCCTGCAGGGGAGACCGGGGGGGGGGCTTCCAGTGGTGGCTTGGTCATTCAGGGCTAAATGCAAATGTCAGGGGGTGTGGCCAAAGCCCTTGGCTGCCCCCTCCAACCTGGCTCGGGAGCCCTGGGCACTTCCTGCAGCAGCTTGGTGGTTGTCACTGGGCTGGTTGTGGGTGTTGGTGGCATGGCTGAGGCCCCCAGCCTTCCCCTGTCCCTGGCTTGGGAGCCCAGGGGGCTTCTGTTCCTTCTAAGTTTTATAGATGTCCCTTGGTGGTGTGAGACCTTTACTAGTTAACATCAAACTTTGTCTCTGGACTATGGGTATTTTGTTTTTTCTTTCATTTCTGTGTTGGATTATTCACTGTTCCTGGTATTTTGTTTTTTCTTTCATTTCTGTGTTGGATTATTCACTGTTCCTACCACTTAAACTGCACTGGAACTAATTTGTTGTCCTTTGCTTACTTCTAAAATGGGGGAACTTCCTGTGGGGACCAGCACTTGAGCCCTGTGGTTGAACTAAATTGCTGCTTTGCTGCCGATTCCCTGGGGAAGGCTTTTTGTGCAGCTCAGGTTTTCACAGTTGACTTTATAGGTACTTCTGGGTCTTGTGAGGTCTGGTACACCTGGTTTGTGTAGAAACTTTGGTCTGGGCCTGAGTGTTTTCAGCAAACTGCTCCTTCTGCAATTTTGTATTCCTGACCAGTCTCCTCTGAGTGGGCCTGTGCTGATTGGGGTGCAGATCAGCTGCCCTTGTTGTGTCCAATGTTACCCCAGTGGGCCTGTCTCTCCCACCACCCACACTCCAAACACTTCCCATGGGACAGACCATGTGCCAGTCCCTTGCGATTACTCACTGGCCTCTGAGTGCCTCCTTTTTCAGTTGTCTCTGGCCCCTCACTCCTACGTGGGCCCATGGGAACCCTGTTAGTGGTCTTCCTGGCCTGGGGGCCACCAAGGCCCTCTTCTCCCTTGCTGCCTCCAAGCAACTTCATACAAAGGGCACAGCTGCAGCTTTTGCCAGCTCTTGCTCCGTGTCCTCACCAGCTCCAGCCTTGAAGCAGCCAGAATTCGAAATGGTGGGAGTGGTTCTTTCTTTCTTCATCGTGGCTTCTCCTGCCTTCATGAACTCTGTAGGTCTCTCCTCCTCTTCTTCTGAGATCTAGCGGCCCCAGCTTGGCTGTCGTTGCTTTTTAATAGTTGTAAATTGGTTGATTGTGGGAGAGAGTGATGCTGGGGACTGTCTATTCTGCCATCTTGACCAGAAGCCCCTGTGATGGCTTCTTATCTCATTCAAAATAAAAGACAATGTCCTTTCAGTGACTAAATATACCAACGTCTTTTCCTATGTCCTTAGTGTCCTAATCACATTGACCTTTTGCTCTTTCTCAGATAAACAAAACACACTCTTTAGTGGCTTTTCATTTGCTGTTTCATCTGTCTGAGGACTTCCCACAAATATACTCTCAAAGGAGCTGACTAAAGCTCAGTCAAGGAGGGAGTCCTTATCAACTGTTCTGTTCTTAGCATCTAGAAAAGTGAGTGGCATATAGTGGGGGCATTGGCCAACCATTGTTAAATCAGTAAATGAATGCCCTATCCTGAGAATTTTCTTTCAAACAGAAAGTCCTCATTGAACAAAAAAGATACATTTTCCTTCCTAAGCTGTCCAATTCCTGAAGTTTATTAAGTAGAAATACATACATACACACACATATGTACACACATTTTTTTTTTTTTCTGGAAAATAATAACTTTGTTAAAACAGGCTCAGTCTTGTTTTATTTTCTGTATCAGCAAAGTGTGAGGAAATAATTTTTAGTGTTTTGGGTACCATACTTTTCTAACATGCTTTTTCTTTGCTTGAATTGTCAAAGTCAAATTAAAAAAAAAAAAAAGACAATTGTCAAAGTCAAATTAAAAAAAAAAAAGACATCCAAAAAATCGCTTTCATTTGGGAAAACAGAATTGCTATTCGGGGCATACACTCAGGCTGGGGTGGTCTCTGGTATGTCCAAAGAACAAAGAAAGGGTTGGGCGTTTTACTACAAAGAGAAATGCTACATATTCATATTGTATTTGAAAGAAAGCTCATTGGCGCTAGTGAAGTTTTGGGGAGTTGGCAAGCTCTAATTGGTGAGTGATGGCAGTAGGTAAAGCCAGTTTTAGAGTCACTGGCAGGTCGTTTCAGCAGCTACTATATAAACCTAGTCTTAGGGTTATAGCAAGCGTTTCAGCAGCTGGGCTTGCAGGAGATTCTTGGAGCAGGTGCTGTGTGCCGCGGGCGTTCATTCCCCCTCTCTCTCCGCCTTTCAACTCTGATTTAGTTTGGGTATGACAAGAATGACCCAATTTGTATAACTAACTTTCATAAAGTCGAAACAGGATTATATGGAAACACACAAACATAAACAGCTACCCAAAGTAACATAAAACATATCTCAGATCCTAATCAGTGTCTAGCAGCGGGTGCCAATCTTGGCTGCACATTAGGATCACTTGGGAGCTTTTAAAAATTCCGATGCCAGGGGCCGAGCCCAGAGCAATTAATACAGAACCTCTGGAGCTGGACGCAGGCGCCTTTACCTTTCAAAGGTCCCCAGCTGCTGCCAACGTGCTCTCAGGATGGAGACCCCCAGGCTCGGGCTGGCCCAGACTACATTTCCCAGAGGCCTCCGCGGCCACTTCCACTTCCGGCCTGCTAGCCTCTGCAGAGGCGAGGGCGGCGGCGGCGGCTGTGGGACCGCCTGGGCCGCCCTTGCCGCTTGGTGCCCTCCGGGGGTGGACACCGCCCGGCTGGGGCCTCCGGCCTCCGGACCCTGGCGGGTGCGCCCCTCCATCCCCCTCGATAACTTCGTATAATGTATGCTATACGAAGTTATTACGTTCCACTTCCGCCTGCTAGCCTCTGCAGAGGCGAGGGCGGCGGCGGCGGCTGTGGGACCGCCTGGGCCGCCCTTGCCGCTTGGTGCCCTCCGGGGGTGGACACCGCCCGGCTGGGGCCTCCGGCCTCCGGACCCTGGCGGGTGCGCCCCTCCATCCCCCTCGAGGGGAGCCGGGTTGGGAGGGGACAGCCGTGTGGGCAGCGCCCACCCGCAGGGCTGTGCGGTGTGGAGCGATCGCCCGAGTTTGGCGCCCGGGCCAAGAGGCTGAGCCACCGAGACTGTCCTTCCGTGCTGGCTCGCTGCAAGGCTGGACTCCAGGATGGGTCTCAGCCAGTTTGCAGAGGGCAGGTTCTAGCTAGTGTAGGACGTGGAGGGACTTCCTCATATTTCCTTTCTTCTTTCCCAGATTGGCTTACGCAGGATTCTCTGCTTTGCCTTGGAGAGCAGTTCAGGAGACAGATGGCCCCAAGAGCCCCGATCCAGGCAAGTTTGGCTTTTCCTTTTCCTGATAAATGGCCATGCGTTTCAGAGTGAGGTGGCGTTATGCCTCTTGTCCTGAAGGTGCTCTGCCCCGTGCATGGACCGAGCTGCCCGAGCCAGTCCTGGATGGGTCCAGCTGTACCTCTAACTCTCTCCCCGCTGTTATCCCCTCATCTTCTGTACCCATTACATAGCCATTCACCAAATAGATATTGATATCCATGCTTTCTAGAGTGCTAAAAACTGAAAAATACTTTGCAAACTTACAGAAGACGAAAAACGGAGACATTTAGCATACAAAGACATAGGCCGAAAGATCGGTGAACGATGCACGTGAGAGGAATGGCAGCGCTCTTGACCTTCAAGGTGGACGGTGGTCACTTTAGTTCTTCCGGAAGAGCAAATGAAATTTCCACAGCCGCAGAGGGGTGGGAGGTGACCAGGGGAAGGCGCTGCAGTGTGAGTGAAGTTATGATGGTGAAACCATGAACAAACTGGCCCCCAGGAAATTTGGGAAACCTTTGTAGTCTAGAATGCCAGGCTGGAGTTTGCCTTTATACTGGAGAAAATGGGTTTGAAGGATTTTGAAACGTTGATGTGAAGTAATCAGCATTCTGAAAGGAAGCGATAAATATTTGAATGTTTGCTACACAAGTTAAGAGTAACAAAGAAAATTTTAAAAGTTAAAGATCATTCACACTCTTACTACTCTAAAAAATGAGGTTATTTCATTTGAAACACCTTTGTATATATATATTTTTAAGCTTACCTTTTTTCCATTTAATATGTCACAGCCATTTCTTTCAATTTGTTCCGGTCATATTACCACTTTTTATAGCTGCCTTTTATGCTGTTCGCTCAACCAGCCCTGTGACCTTGAGCAAGTTCTTTCAACTCTCTGAGTGTTAGTATCCTTAGCCATAAAATAGATAGAACAATACTTTATACAGTGTGGCGAAAATTTAGAGAGATAATGTGCATTTTAGGGCTTAGCATTGTGCCTGGTACATATTGAGTAGCTGCTGTTCAAATCCCCTTACCCACCAGCTGCCAAAGGGTAAAAAAAAAAAGTTCCTGCTGTTACGAAAAGCAATTACGAGTAGCTGCTGTTCAAATCCCCTTACCCACCAGCTGCCAAAGGGTAAAAAAAAAAAGTTCCCGCTGTTACGAAAAGCAATTACATTTTTTTTTTTTTCCTTTTTGTCTTTTTCCGTGTCCGGCAACGGATCGCAACCCTCAGTGTCGCCCCCGTACCGGACCGGGACCGGCTACGGGATCGCAACCCTTGGGGTTGCTCCCGCGCCTCGCTCAGCCAGTGAGCGGGAACCGGCCTGTATGTGGGATACGAACCCTCAGCGGGAGCGCCACCACGCTTCCCAAGCGGCGCACTATAGCAGTGCGCCACCGGGCCGGCCCAGCAATTACATTTTTATTTTATTCTAAAAGTTCTGCCCCAGAGTCTGACCATACTCCCTGTGAATTCTAGGATAAGGCCTGCATCACTTTCCATGTCTCTCAGAGTTTCTGTTCATTTGTTGATTGAACAAATCCCATGAAGAGAAATGAAGCAGGTTGCAGGATAAAGAGTGCTGGAGGATGGGGTGGAGAGGAGAGAATACCTTTCTGATTAGGGGACATAGCAAAGGCCTGTGAAGGGAGGGATGAGCAAAGGCCAGTCCTGGAGGAGGAAGCATGACAGCCACTTCGGAAGAACCTGAGCAGGGTGGCAGTGCTCGAGCGAGGGGTCACAACCTCCCCTCACCCCCGCCGGGTTTTCCAGCTTCTCATCTTTTACTTTTTCATTACTGTGAACAGAATCAGAGCTATCAAAAGCTGGTCTTGAACATCTTTCTTTCCTTCTCTGGTGCAGCTTCTACGTCAGGGGTGAAGGTATAAACAGTGGTCCCCGAATGAGCAGAATGGGGTTTGGTTTTGCAGGAATCACTGACGTTTGTGGATGTGGCTGTGGCCTTTACCCAGACCGAGTGGAGACATCTGGATGCTGCTCAGCAGGCTCTGTACAGGGATGTGATGCTGGAAAACTATGGGAATCTGGTGTCTGTGGGTAAGGATGCCTTCTTGACTCATAATTGGTCAGAAGGGCAATTTTGTGTTTTCACAGGGTAAATGTTTTGGGGTATTTAAGAATGTCGAATTATTTATTTATTTATTTTGAGCATGGGCTTAGAGGCTGGAGTTAATGCTCCTTCCACCCCTTGGAAAGGTCAGAGCCATACAGAGTGTAAGATGGGCTGCTTTATTGTGCAGGCTAGTGCAGTTCTCTAACATTTTCATGTCAGTATTCATCTGCCTCCCAAAGTAGGAGCTTCTTATTCTCAAAGAGGACCTGGTTTTCTAATCAACTCTCCCTCCTCCGTTTGTATTACTGCATGAGCTGGACATTCTCTGTACCACCTAAGGCCTCCCTGACCTATCCAGGTTCCCTGTTGATCTGCAAGTTGACATTGAGGTCTGGGATAACTCTTTGTGCTCATAATCACAGTCACGTTCTTTTTCTTTCTCTGTGAACAGGGCTTCTCTCTTCCAAACCAATACTAATCACTCAGTTGGAGCAAGGGGCAGAGCCCTGGATGGAGGTGCGAGAGGTTCCACCAGGTACTCGTGCAGGTGAGTGACGTGGGGACTGTTTCCAGCAGTAGGGCAGCACCCAGCACATGAGGAGAGGTTTTTGGGCAGAAAGTTCATTTTAGAGCGCCCACATCTGTGTGGAAGGGCTGGGACATGTGACATTAGTCTCCTCTAATGGCATCCTCATGTCAAGTGACTTGCAGGTTTTCTTCTCATTCTTTCCACTGCTGTGGAGAGCTGCTGCCTTCACCAGGGCCTCAGGCCTGTGACTTCCTGCCCTGACTCCTCGATCTTTTCATGTTCTTTTTCCCTCTCTGTTTTCAGGCATTTATCAGGCAATCCTTTGTTTCTTTCTACCTTCTGTCCACTGTCAGTTCTTTCCAGATTCTCTCATAGTTAGTATGTTAAATTACTGTATACCACTTTCTAGTGGCATTGGCAGATTCCAAACATAAGCAGTTTCCTAACTCTCAGGTAATTACTCTTTTTGGCCAACAAACTGATGGGGCAGTATTTTCTTCTCTTTTCTCATGGATCTTTTTATATTTCTCTTTTCTGCTGTCCTTCGCTCTTGGATCTCATTGTTTTCTATGTATACTTTGCATATATTTCTGTATGTAACTTTCTCTGTGTCATAGTTCATTTCTAAATCTTTAAACATGGAAGTTTCTCTCACCCAAAATATATATCCTGCCAGTATTCCTTCTTCTAAAATTCTAATTGTCATTTTCCTATTTCATCTTCAGGGAACTTTTATAACTATATTTCATAGAAAAGACCAGTGATACGTAATCTTGCTTACCTAGGTCTTTTTGTGTTTTGTTTTGTTTTGTTTTCCACAGGGGTGGGGGGTACTTTTGAATGCTTTTCAAGTAATTTCTTTTATTCTTATTATCTTTAACTTTTTCCTCAGTAAATACTTGTGTTGATTCCTTATATAGTAACAATAGTAATTCTAAGACCAGTGATACGTAATCTTGCTTACCTAGGTCTTTTTGTGTTTTGTTTTGTTTTGTTTTGCACAGGGGTGGGGGGTACTTTTGAATGCTTTTCAAGTAATTTCTTTTATTCTTATTATGTTTAACTTTTTCCTCAGTAAATACTTGTGTTGATTCCTTATATAGTAACAATAGTAATTCCGCCTTCCTTATTCTTTGTTCTTTTTTATTTTAATTTTGGTTGTTATTTTAAATAGAATGTTTAAAACTTAGATGTACTTAAAACTAACAGTGTTTCCTCTATTGTTTTTTTCATCCATTTAAAGGATTAGTAAATCTTTCTGCAAGGACGTTACAACCGTTCAATGTTTTGTGTGTTTTTTTCTTTTTTGTGTATTTTTCTCTGTTAGTGTCTAGAAATGCTTACCTCTATTGTTTTTTTCATCCATTTAAAGGATTAGTAAATCTTTCTGCAAGGACGTTACAACCATTCAATGTTTTGTGTGTTTTTTTCTTTTTTGTGTATTTTTCTCTGTTAGTGTCTAGAAATGCTTACGGTACAAAGTTCAGATGGTTCAAATGGTAAGCAGTCTCCTTCACGTACCTTTCTGATCCTTGTGGAATCCTTGCGTAAGTTTCTTATGGAAACTTCCAGATATGATGTACGCTTTGCAAGAATATACATGTATTCCTTTCCTTAAGGGCATGAAAGCACACTATTCTGCATCTTACATTGGCACTTATATCTTGGAAATCATTTCATGTAGCTACATCATTTAGAGCTGCTATTTTTCTGTTTAATGCCTGCATAGTGTTCCATGGGTGTATGGTCTTTATGTTATTAGTTCTCTTTAGTGGGCCTAATAACTATGAAGAGTGTTGCAGTGATTATCTTCATACACATCAATTCCCTCATGTACAAGTAAATCTATAGAATAAATTCCTAGGGGAAGGATTGTTAAGCTAAAGGGTAAGTGTATTTTCTAATTTGGTGGATACTACCAATCTTCATAGAGATTATACATATTTATACTCCTAATGACAACGTCAGAATGCCAGTCTATTCACAATTTATCAGTAGTGTCTCAAATACTTTTTGATTGTTGGCAATCTGAGAGGTGAAAATATTTATTTCATTGTAATTCTGATTTACACTTCTCTTATCAGGAGTGTGGTTGAGCATGTTTTAACATTTTCAGGAACTCTTGAATTTCTTTTGCTGAGAAATGCCTTTTTCTGTTTTTTACCCATTTTACTACTGGGTTGTTGGTCTTTTTATTATCAATGTAAAGGGCTTTTTATTCATTGAGGAAATTAGCTCTATGTCATACACACTACAGATTTTTAAAAAATTTGTTTTGTATTGACTTTTTTTTGTATCGTCAACAATAATGGTAGTGATAGCTATTCTTGTTTTTTTTGTCTTTAATCGGATTGTCTAGAGTTCTCCAACTGAGCTGGCTATTGGGTTGGGATACATATATGTTATTATGTTAAGGAAGTAGTTAATTCACATCTTTTATTAAGAATTTTTTAAAAAAATCAAACATGCTGATTTTATTAAATGCCTTTTCAACATATATGGAAATGATGTCTTTTCCCTTTTGGTCTATTAGTATGGTAAATTTTATTCTCAGTTATCTCATTGACTTTGCATTCTTAGCAGAACCCCACTTGGCTGTGGCAAATTATATTATTCTTTTAATATTTCAGTGGATGATTGCTAATCTTTCATTTAAATTTTTGCACTGATACTTAAAAGTGTTCACAATTTTCCCCCCCAATTTGGCCATTTTGATTTGGTTTTGATTTCAATTTTATAATCCTTTTATAAAAAAATTTGGACCTTTTCTACTTTCATCCTTTAGTCTAATTTAACTCACATGATGGCTGTTCCCTAAAGGATTGGGTGCTTTGTCTTATTTTTACTTATTTATTGTGGTGGGGAGCAGGAAGGAGGACTAGGAGGTAGCTCTTTGACAATATTTTCTTTTATATAGTGACTTGTCCAGGTAGATTTTCTTTCTCTCCAGGAAACAGTTTTGGTAATTTAGTTTCCTAAAAAGCATCCAGTAATTCAGGTTTTCAAATTTATTTACATAGTGTTGAACATAGTAGCCTTTTATGATTCCTTTTATAATATCCTCAGCATCTTTGGTTACTTTTCCCTGATTTCTTACTTTGTCTTTTCCCCTTTATTAGCTCTATCTTATATATTTTTTTAAAGAAGAGCTCTTGGATGTATTTATTAGTGTTACTTTTTTTTGTCTTTTAAATCTTTAATTCTTGTTCCCTTTGCTTTCCTTTAGATTTATTTACTTTTTCCCATTTTTAGTTATTTACTTAATTCACTGATTTTCCTTCTTTCTCACTTATGGCATATAAGTGTTTAAAGCCTTAAGCTTTTTGTTTCTGCAGTGTTTTATATTCATTAGGTTTCAATATGTAGTGTTTTCATTATCACGTTCAGATATTTTGCAATGTGTTTTGATTTCTGTGACCGAAGTATTGAGACTCATAAACTAGCCTTCTCTTTTCTTTCTTAAAGCCTTTTAAAATTGAATACATACATAGAAATGTTGATAAAATATATCCGTACAGCCTGAATTAATATTCTCATTAATTAATTGATCAATTAATTTTTTATTGGTTATGAATATTCATGGGGTACAAAGCTGACTGTCAGCACTTGTGCCCAAGATGTGATGACCAGATCCACACTGGCAGCATGCACATTACCACAAATTGTGATTATACACTGTGTCCCCCACCCAATTAATCCCCAACTTCCCTCCCCCTCCCCCTTTCCTCCACTCCACTTTGTATCCCTAGGTATGCTCTCTCCCTCTGCACGTCCAATATACCACTGTGGTTGAATTAGTATTTTAAAAGTGAATACCTATGTAACCAACACTTAGGGCAAGATACAGAATATTGGCAATACCCCAGGAAATCACACCTTGATCCTTCTCAATCATTATCAGTTTTTTTTTGTTACCTTCCTAAGTTACCAACTTCTTAGGTGCTCTTTGTATTCTCTAAGTACCATGTCTGTAATACACGTTTCTTCCATTCCTTCAGAGTCCTACTCCCTTCTCCTGTATTTAGTCTTGCCATCTTTTCTTACTTAGCAAGAAGCACAAATGGGACACATAAGTAACCCTTAGTTATGTAGAACAGAGCATTAACCAATCCTCGTGCAACTCTCATTTTCAATATTTCAACATAGAGAACATTTGAATTTTTTGAATTTTCTTTCAGTCAAGGAGTACTGGTTTGAAACAAAGATGCCAGTGCTAAAGCAGAATGACTCTGAAGGATCTGTTCTGAGAGAGCAAACAAGACATGTGCTGATAAAGAGAGGCCTGGAGCTGGAGGGCAGAGGCACCACGGAGGGGCAGCACTGTGGGTGCAAGGAGCATGGGGAAGTCTTCCAGTACATCTCCTTCCTTACTAGCCAGAGCAAACAAGACATGTGCTGATAAAGAGAGGCCTGGAGCTGGAGGGCAGAGGCACCACGGAGCGGCAGCACTGTGGGTGCAAGGAGCATGGGGAAGTCTTCCAGTACAGCTCCTTCCTTACTAGCCACCAGAGAAATCACTTTGGTGAGAAACCACATAAATGTACAGAATGTGGGATAGCCTTTATGAACAGCTCATCGCTTTTAAATCATCATAAAATTCATGTAGGCAAGCAACCTTACAGATGTATTGAATGTGGGAAATTCCTCAAGAAGCACTCAACATTTATTAATCATCAGAGAATTCATTCTANAACATAAGCAGTTTCCTAACTCTCAGGTAATTACTCTTTTTGGCCAACAAACTGATGGGGCAGTATTTTCTTCTCTTTTCTCATGGATCTTTTTATATTTCTCTTTTCTGCTGTCCTTCGCTCTTGGATCTCATTGTTTTCTATGTATACTTTGCATATATTTCTGTATGTAACTTTCTCTGTGTCATAGTTCATTTCTAAATCTTTAAACATGGAAGTTTCTCTCACCCAAAATATATATCCTGCCAGTATTCCTTCTAAAATTCTAATTGTCATTTTCCTATTTCATCTTCAGGGAACTTTTATAACTATATTTCATAGAAAAGACCAGTGATACGTAATCTTGCTTACCTAGGTCTTTTTGTGTTTTGTTTTGTTTTGTTTTCCACAGGGGTGGGGGGTACTTTTGAATGCTTTTCAAGTAATTTCTTTTATTCTTATTATCTTTAACTTTTTCCTCAGTAAATACTTGTGTTGATTCCTTATATAGTAACAATAGTAATTCTGCCTTCCTTATTCTTTGTTCTTTTTTATTTTAATTTTGGTTGTTATTTTAAATAGAATGTTTAAAACTTAGATGTACTAAAAACTAACAGTGTTTCCTCTATTGTTTTTTTCATCCATTTAAAGGATTAGTAAATCTTTCTGCAAGGACGTTACAACCATTCAATGTTTTGTGTGTTTTTTTCTTTTTTGTGTATTTTTCTCTGTTAGTGTCTAGAAATGCTTATGGTACAAAGTTCAGATGGTTCAAATGGTAAGCAGTCTCCTTCACGTACCTTTCTGATCCTTGTGGAATCCTTGCGTAAGTTTCTTATGGAAACTTCCAGATATGATGTACGCTTTGCAAGAATATACATGTATTCCTTTCCTTAAGGGCATGAAAGCACACTATTCTGCATCTTACATTGGCACTTATATCTTGGAAATCATTTCATGTAGCTACATCATTTAGAGCTGCTATTTTTCTGTTTAATGCCTGCATAGTGTTCCATGGGTGTATGGTCTTTATGTTATTAGTTCTCTTTAGTGGGCCTAATAACTATGAAGAGTGTTGCAGTGATTATCTTCATACACATCAATTCCCTCATGTACAAGTAAATCTATAGAATAAATTCCTAGGGGAAGGATTGTTAAGCTAAAGGGTAAGTGTATTTTCTAATTTGGTGGATACTACCAATCTTCATAGAGATTATACATATTTATACTCCTAATGACAACGTCAGAATGCCAGTCTATTCACAATTTATCAGTAGTGTCTCAAATACTTTTTGATTGTTGGCAATCTGAGAGGTGAAAATATTTATTTCATTGTAATTCTGATTTACACTTCTCTTATCAGGAGTGTGGTTGAGCATGTTTTAACATTTTCAGGAACTCTTGAATTTCTTTTGCTGAGAAATGCCTTTTTCTGTTTTTTACCCATTTTACTACTGGGTTGTTGGTCTTTTTATTATCAATGTAAAGGGCTTTTTATTCATTGAGGAAATTAGCTCTATGTCATACACACTACAGATTTTTAAAAAATTTGTTTTGTATTGACTTTTTTTTGTATCGTCAACAATAATGGTAGTGATAGCTATTCTTGTTTTTTTTGTCTTTAATCGGATTGTCTAGAGTTCTCCAACTGAGCTGGCTATTGGGTTGGGATACATATATGTTATTATGTTAAGGAAGTAGTTAATTCACATCTTTTATTAAGAATTTTTTAAAAAAATCAAACATGCTGATTTTATTAAATGCCTTTTCAACATATATGGAAATGATGTCTTTTCCCTTTTGGTCTATTAGTATGGTAAATTTTATTCTCAGTTATCTCATTGACTTTGCATTCTTAGCAGAACCCCACTTGGCTGTGGCAAATTATATTATTCTTTTAATATTTCAGTGGATGATTGCTAATCTTTCATTTAAATTTTTGCACTGATACTTAAAAGTGTTCACAATTTTCCCCCCCAATTTGGCCATTTTGATTTGGTTTTGATTTCAATTTTATAATCCTTTTATAAAAAAATTTGGACCTTTTCTACTTTCATCCTTTAGTCTAATTTAACTCACATGATGGCTGTTCCCTAAAGGATTGGGTGCTTTGTCTTATTTTTACTTATTTATTGTGGTGGGGAGCAGGAAGGAGGACTAGGAGGTAGCTCTTTGACAATATTTTCTTTTATATAGTGACTTGTCCAGGTAGATTTTCTTTCTCTCCAGGAAACAGTTTTGGTAATTTAGTTTCCTAAAAAGCATCCAGTAATTCAGGTTTTCAAATTTATTTACATAGTGTTGAACATAGTAGCCTTTTATGATTCCTTTTATAATATCCTCAGCATCTTTGGTTACTTTTCCCTGATTTCTTACTTTGTCTTTTCCCCTTTATTAGCTCTATCTTATATATTTTTTTAAAGAAGAGCTCTTGGATGTATTTATTAGTGTTACTTTTTTTTGTCTTTTAAATCTTTAATTCTTGTTCCCTTTGCTTTCCTTTAGATTTATTTACTTTTTCCCATTTTTAGTTATTTACTTAATTCACTGATTTTCCTTCTTTCTCACTTATGGCATATAAGTGTTTAAAGCCTTAAGCTTTTTGTTTCTGCAGTGTTTTATATTCATTAGGTTTCAATATGTAGTGTTTTCATTATCACGTTCAGATATTTTGCAATGTGTTTTGATTTCTGTGACCGAAGTATTGAGACTCATAAACTAGCCTTCTCTTTTCTTTCTTAAAGCCTTTTAAAATTGAATACATACATAGAAATGTTGATAAAATATATCCGTACAGCCTGAATTAATATTCTCATTAATTAATTGATCAATTAATTTTTTATTGGTTATGAATATTCATGGGGTACAAAGCTGACTGTCAGCACTTGTGCCCAAGATGTGATGACCAGATCCACACTGGCAGCATGCACATTACCACAAATTGTGATTATACACTGTGTCCCCCACCCAATTAATCCCCAACTTCCCTCCCCCTCCCCCTTTCCTCCACTCCACTTTGTATCCCTAGGTATGCTCTCTCCCTCTGCACGTCCAATATACCACTGTGGTTGAATTAGTATTTTAAAAGTGAATACCTATGTAACCAACACTTAGGGCAAGATACAGAATATTGGCAATACCCCAGGAAATCACACCTTGATCCTTCTCAATCATTATCAGTTTTTTTTTGTTACCTTCCTAAGTTACCAACTTCTTAGGTGCTCTTTGTATTCTCTAAGTACCATGTCTGTAATACACGTTTCTTCCATTCCTTCAGAGTCCTACTCCCTTCTCCTGTATTTAGTCTTGCCATCTTTTCTTACTTAGCAAGAAGCACAAATGGGACACATAAGTAACCCTTAGTTATGTAGAACAGAGCATTAACCAATCCTCGTGCAACTCTCATTTTCAATATTTCAACATAGAGAACATTTGAATTTTTTGAATTTTCTTTCAGTCAAGGAGTACTGGTTTGAAACAAAGATGCCAGTGCTAAAGCAGAATGACTCTGAAGGATCTGTTCTGAGAGAGCAAACAAGACATGTGCTGATAAAGAGAGGCCTGGAGCTGGAGGGCAGAGGCACCACGGAGGGGCAGCACTGTGGGTGCAAGGAGCATGGGGAAGTCTTCCAGTACATCTCCTTCCTTACTAGCCAGCAGAGAAATCACTTTGGTGAGAAACCACATAAATGTACAGAATGTGGGATAGCCTTTATGAACAGCTCATCGCTTTTAAATCATCATAAAATTCATGTAGGCAAGCAACCTTACAGATGTATTGAATGTGGGAAATTCCTCAAGAAGCACTCAACATTTATTAATCATCAGAGAATTCATTCTAGAGAGAAACCCCACAAATGCAATGAATGTGGAAAAACTTTCAGAAAGAACTCTATCCTTTTGAATCATCACAGAATTCATACTGGCCAGAAACCTTACATATGTAATGCCTGTGGGAAAGCCTTTGCTCAGAATGTAGCCCTTACTCGTCATGAGAGAATACATAGTGGAGAGAAACCTTTTAAATGTAATGAATGTGGGAAAGCTTTCAGGGATAACTCAACTGTGTTGGAACATCAGAAAATCCATACGGGTGAGAAACCATATCAGTGTAATGAATGCAGAAAAGCCTTTAGGAAGAGCTCCACTCTTATAAGTCATCAAAGAGTGCATACGGGAGAGAAACCCTATCATTGTAGTAAATGTGGAAAATATTTTAGGTATAGCTCATCCTTTGCTGGACATCAGAAAACTCATAGTGGAAATAAACCCTATCAGTGTAGTGACTGTGGGAAAGCCTTTACGAAGAGTTCAACCCTTCTTGGACATCAGAGAATTCATACTGGGGAAAAACCCTATCACTGTAAGAAATGTGGGAAAGCCTTCCGGCACAGCTCAGGCTTTGTTGAGCATCAGAGACTCCATACTGGAGAAAAACCTTATAAATGTAATGAATGTGGGAAAGCCTTTCCCCAAAGTTCAGCCCTTAAACAACATAAGAAAATTCATAACAAAGAAAGAGTCATCAAATGTAGTTAGTGTGGTAAATCATGCAGAAGTAGTTTATCCCTTCTAACCATGGATGTTCAATAAATTGCACATTTAACAAAAGTATTGTGTACCTCTTTCTGGGAGAACTTCTTACTTGTGAGCATGTTCATTGTAGTGTGGTTTGTACTAATGAAACATTTGAAGAGCCTAAATGTCTATCAATATGGAAATGGTTACTATAGAATACTATGTACCAATTGAAGAGCATGAGGGTAGAGCTGTAAATACTTCAGTCAAGATATCCCCAGATACCTTAAGTTAAGAAAACGATTTATAGAAAATCTGTATATTATAGTCTTATTTATATTTTTAAAAAATGAAGCATTTTTTTCTTATATAGTATCTATTTAGAAAGACTTGGAAAAATGAAGGTCAGACTTTAATAGTTATCTTTGAGAAGGATGTGCTATTAGTATGATGAAGTGAAAATTTGACATTGCCTATGTTCTTTGAAATATTTAATCAAACATACATTCATGTATCTTCTATAATTTAATGTAGTTGTCTTTCTAAAGTAGAAAACTCAGAAGCCATAAAAAAAAGACATTAAAATTTTTAAAGCTTTTGTATGTCCAAAGGCTTCACAGTATTAAGACACCAAGGGAAAATATTACCACCATCATATTTAACGAATAACAGTGGGACTATCTAGAGAGTGCTTAAAAATACATGAGAAAAATATAAAAATCCCAGTGGAGAAATGGTCTTGGATATCAATGTACAGTTGGCAAGCGAAAACAGATGGTCAGCTTTAGAGACACGTGAATTAAAATGGTCAGTTTATTTTTGCCTATTAGACAAAAATTAATAAGAAAATATTTGGTTCTTTTGAGGGTGTGTGAATCTAGGCACACATATATTGTTGAAGGAATTGTGAACTGACATTTGCTTGGTGATGAGAAGCATAATTTGACTATAGAGATGCTCCTTGACTTATGATGGGGTTACATCCCAATAAACCCATTTTAAGTTGAAAATGTATTTAATACACCTAACCTACATCATAGTTTAGCCTAGCTTACCTTAAATGTGCTCAGAACATTTACATACAGTTGGGCAAAGTCATCTAACACTAAGCTGATTTTATAATAAAGTATTGACTATCTCATGTGCCACGTATTGCTAGCTGGAGAAAAGATTAAAATTCTAAATTTGAAATACTTCAAAATTATGACAGTTTCAAACCATTGTAGAGTTAAAAAATTTTGTTGAACCATCATAAGTTGGAGATTTTCTGTAGCTAAAAAATGGTCAAAAGATTTGAATGAATGATCAAGAAATTGAAAGGATAACCCATAGAGTGGCGGAAAATATTTGCAAATCGTATATCTGATAGGGGCCTTGAATGTATAAAGAACTCTCACAAGTCAGTAATAAAGACATTTCAAGCATGGCTATATTAGTTTGCTAGGGCTGCCATAACAAAGTACCATGGACTGGGGTGGCTTAAACAACAGAAATGCATTTCCTCACAATTCTGGAAATAAGAAGTCTGAGATCAGCATGATAGCAGGATTGGTTTCTTCTGAGACCTCTCTCCTTGGCTGTAGGTGGCCATGTTGTCCCTGTCTCTTCACACGGTCTTCCCTCTGAGTGTGTCTGTGACCTAATCTCCTCTTATAAAGACACCAGTCATATTGGATTAGGGTTCAACCTGATGACCTCATTTTAACTTAATGATCTATTTAAAGACTCTGTCTCCAAATACACTCACATTCTGAGGTGCTGGAGATGAGGATTCAATATATGAATATTGGGGGACACAATTCAGCCCATAACTCTGGGCAAAGAATCTGAATAGACATTTGTTCAAGAATATATTCAAATTGCTAA